GTGCCGGAAGATTTTGAACACATTGAACCGAAGAGCAGCGTGAAGAGCGTGGCCGCTGACCAAATTAAATGTGCCTGTCAAAATTATTTGGGGGCCCCTCCCCATGCTATGGCACTGTTTGAAGCTACTTTAAGCTACACAAAAAGGAATTGAAGAAGAACCAAGGTCACACCTTGGAATGGAGCTGGCATTGTCCCGCACAGAATGACGCGCACTAACCGATCGACTGTGCTAATCCTTGCGCCGTTTCGCAGGCTATTTAACAGTTATTCCTGGAGCCCGAATGGGCTCTGATTCAATAGCCCATGAAGCCGAAGGCCGAATTGGCTATTGACTCAGAGGCCATGAGGGCGAAAGGAATAATTGTTTTAGTAAAATCCAACTAGTTGGTCAAAAACATCGAAACAAAACAATTTCAGCTAGCAAAACGCGATTCAGCCACTATTACTTTGGTTTTCAAAGCCGGCGCTTTTCGCTACTAGTGGGCTATAACATATAGCCTAGTAGTAAGTAGTAGCTCAACCAGTCAGAACGCGGCATTGATAATAGATCACTAGTTGAATTTTACTAATATAGCTTACAACATTCAGTTGTGTATTGGTTGCAATGAGAGAATAAACAATACGATGTTTCCTTTGCAGTTCTTTATTATGGGAGCATAGATAATGCACCACTTCAAATTTTTCATGGCCACTTACCGCCATGTGTTATCAGTAAGAGCAGATTGGTTAAGGTGGCTCGATGGGGTTTTTTAGTGTTAATACCTCCCAAGTTTAAGCTTTAGCTACGTCGCAATAAACAAAGATTTGGAAATACTACTACCACCGCTGCATTGTATGAAGATGAAAATTTGTTATTATCATGGTAACAATGACATCAGAGTTGTCATAGCAACGAAATGACGCCATTACTTGCAAACAATCTAGCCACCGTATCTCAATTGGCTGAGTACCAAATTCTGTGTGGTAAGCCCAGGTTCAATTCCAAGGCTCCTAGCTGGACCAACACTCGAGGTCTTAAAATAACTGAGGAAAGTTTGCTACCTTTATTCTGACATTTACAAATCGTTAGACTTTCTCAGTTGTCTCTATTTTGGATCGCACGCGGGGAACGGAACGTGATCTCGTGAAAAGCATGACCGAAAGGAGCGAGAGAGGCCATTGACAGTTCTTCTCTCGATAACAATACCAATTGGAGCAATGAAGCACACCTACCAACTCGCGCTAGGTATGCCCAGCACCTTAAGCATGCGCAGAACCATATCACTCGAGCAGTGGCAGCCGTGGGCAGTTGTTGTGTGCATGGGTGGTACCATGCGCACAACAACTGTCCATGGCTGCCACTGCTCGAGTGATATGGTTCTGCGCATGCTTAAGGTGTTGGGAATACCGATCGCGGAGTTGGTAGGTGTGCTTCAGTGCTGAAATTGGTATTCTTCTCTCGTCAATATTAATAGGAGACTGAGAAACGACTGTTAAGGACGGAAACCGTTGGTACCCGTTCACAGCCTCTTTCACAGATCTCATCCTATCAGGGCTAACTTGTTTTTTAGGGAGGCAGCGTGGCCGAGCGCGTCGGACTGGCAATCCGGTGGTCCCGGGTCCGAGTTCCGCTCTGGCCACTTGCTGGATTTGTTCTTGGTCGTCCCGAGCTCAAATCCGCGACCACGCTTGTAATTAAATAGCCAACTGGTTGCCTCATGCCAGTTGGGGTTTTAAATCCCGTTATGTTGTATTTGAATCATTTGTTTTCTAAGTATTTACTGATTGTAAAGCGCTTTGGATCACTAAGAGAAAGGCGCTATATAAGTGTATATTATTATTATTATTTACGAGAAGTGTCTTCGGTTATGAAAGCTTCAATCGTAGTACCCTGCAACCTACTGTAAAAGAGGTCTCATTTGAAGAAGTACACCACGATATCTTAGGGCCTGTTTACATGGTGCTCGAGGGAGGAAGATCATAGAAGGCGTAACAACTTTTCGTCTTATTATCTGCAGAAATTTTAGTCCGCGTAATTAACAAGTAAAGAAGGAATTAAAGTTGGCGGGCGACAATAACAGACATGTCATTTGGGCCTTTTGCCTTCTTCCCTAGCGTTAATAACTATCTTACAGCAGCAGATGGCAGTTCTTTACAACTGGTGGCGCCAAACGAAATTGTCACGGTTTTTTTTTTTTGCCGTGGTTATCCACTGAACGGCCCGTCTCGATTTTTGTCTGGTTTATCCTTAGTACTGGGGTCTTCTTAGCGCAAGCAGTTTATATGGTGTTAGCTAGGATGCTAGGAATCAATAATTAAATTCAAGCAGCTTTTGCAATACTGTAATACACTTTTGTTGTGGTTATAATCATGCAAATAAAGCTTATTGTTGTTGCCAGGAAGATCCTAGTTCTAGGCACCAGTATAACCCTTTGCATGTAAATCGAATACAGAAAACATATGGCACTAGGATGAGCTGCCTTCTAGAATCTTCCTCCCTCCTTGTAAAACAGCCCCTATAAATTGTGTAGACTGCTGGCAGTCACTTGGGTCGATTGCGCGGGAGAGTATGTTACGCGTGCACACGAACAGAGCAAACTCGCGAGGAAACGAAAAGACGGATAGGAAAGGGGACGTACTGCCTCTTTAGCTCTCTCCAGTCCTCCTTTCGGTTAGTTTGCTCAGGGTTTGGGGATGAATAAAAGTTTTCTTTTGTGCTATTCCCATTGCAAGCCTCGAAACCATGTAAAAATTTCTGTATGTCGAAATTGGTTCGTTTTTTGATCTGAGGAGATGCATCAGCTTTTAATATACACATCATCGTCCGAAATTGAAAGGATTTTTAAGCTTCGGCATGTTTTTTGTAGAGGAGACACCACTGAAAAGAATCAGATTTTCCACGAGTGCATATGGAACGGGTCGCAGATTTTGCTTGAATTTGGCCTGTTTCGACTGAGCGTTTCTCTGCATGAGGAAAAATTTCGAGGCCCAACTTTTCTTCTCTTGGGAGCTCATCGAATAATCATGGTTTTGGTTTCTTGCTATTTGAAGATGCATTTTGCTAACTTTCAAGTAAACAAGCTTAACTGAACATGATGTTCGCTGCTAGCTAACAAACATTGCGTTTTCGTTTTCATTTTTTTGAAGCATTAGTAATTGTAAAGTCATACTTGAACCCAGGCAGTCAAGCATTCAGGGCCTCAGTACTTTTCACAAATAACAAGAATAATCCATTCTGCCGAAAAGAAAATCCTTTTTAAAGCTTTGACGGCAATTTGATTCCAATTTATTGCCTGTAAAGCTGTTAGCTTCTGTGCTTTCAAAGCAAGGTTATCTAATATCCATGGACACATTATAAAACCCCGTATCGTGTCTCAGGCATTTTTATGTCAGGGAGAACGAAAAATAGAAATAACTAACTAAAAGGCCTCACACTTCAATGTCGTCCGGATTTTTCAAGGGCGTGATTGACCAAAGACCAACCGGAGAAAATAAGTACAAAGTAAGAAAAAGGAGATAGTTTTCTTATGAAACAAAGCAGAAACAGCAGATTAAAAAATCGTGTGCTTTATTTTTCTACGATAAACGGATTGGTCATTTCACCTCATAGGTCCTTGCCGATTCGTTTATCACATTTGTCCTGTTTTTCTCATAATGTTACACTACAAAAACATATCTTTCTAAACAAGGCTGTCCTATATTATTTACTCTCTAGTCTAGAACCTTCACATCTAACGATGCTATACCACAACTATTGCCTTCTGTGATCTTATCGATGTTGCATGTGTTGTGGACGAAGTATCCGCTTTTTAACCTTTGTCCTTGTTCTACTCTGGTAACAACATTTACAACCGCAATTACTAAAGGGAGCCTGATAATCTTCCATCAAGACAAATTCAGGCATTAAGCCAGACTAATTGTCTTTTGTTCTTGCTCACCGATGCCTAGTATTGTTCATACACGTCTACCTATTATCTTACAATCATCCTTTAGGGACCATTTTTTACTTTATTATCTTAAAAGCTTTTGGACAGCCCACCGTTAATCTAGCTTCTTCTAAGTGAGAATTGTCTCTTTTTCAAGTAACATATTTGGTTTTTGAAACCTCATTATTTTCTAACGATTGCTATGTGATATGACCTTTTGCTTTGCATGTGTTATCGATTAGTTAGAACTCTGCCACCTACGGAACATTAAATAGTTCGTCTGAGAAAACGACACGAATTTGGCTTTTCAGTCTACGGTAACTTACCCTACGGGTATCCCGCTAGCAGGATAATTTCAAAGCTTAAAATTCTCGTGCCAAGAAGTCCTGAGACAAAAAAAAACTTGCTTCTTAAGTAAACATGAAACGCATCGACCAGTTAATACATTACAGCATTTGAAAGCTATCTAGTTTTACTTGATCTATAGTGTATGAGAATAGGCGTGATATAAATGAATTTGCTCAGTGATGGCTATCAACACCGAAGTTATCTACCAGTGTAACCGGAATTAGCAAATTATCACATTGCACTATCCTATCCATCGAACAACATCTTTAAGGTGCTAGGGTTTAGCTGTTGTAACGATTTTACAACAATTTTTACGTTAATATTTCGTTGAATCTTAGATAAGAGGTCGGCCATGTATATCCACGAAGTAGCTGGACTTCATTGCCCTAAATTTACACTGAATACATCTCAACTCTACAACTGCGTCCGCGTTCGGTGCAATTACGATCAACACGTACACCTACATGTAAGAGGTATTTTCATGCCCCAGGGCATCAACGAAAGCTTTTAAAATTGTTCACTGTCACATTTAACTGGAATCTAAAACCCCCGGTTTATCGACGGTAAATCTAAACTTGGTAAAGATTTTCGCACGGAACTACAGTACCTTTCTAAAACAAACAACATGTGCTTTCAGAGATCCATACTTTCTAGGTTCAAGATGACCTTTAATAGGCCTCATTGCTTTGATTACCTTAGCGTTTTAGTTTTCTCTGTTTAGAGGTTTGTTTTAGTTCGGTGAATGTTAGAAACAACCACACTCTTGTACGACCATGTTTTGGACATTCCTCTTTACAATGTTACTATCTTCGTCGAAGTAAAAAATAGAAAGGGGTGAGGACTTAGATGGGGAGCAGCATATCGTGAGTTGTTGGTTAACTCTGTTCATAACTTGTTGTAGCATAAACGCGTAACTGTTGTGGGGACTGATTTGACCTCGGCACGAACCTTCGCAGTAGTTTGCATAGAATCCCTCCGGAAACATGATCCAACGATCCCAACCAATCTTTGTAAAATTTACGTACAGAGTACGTCGACAGCATGATACGGTCTTTCCTACGCAATCCCGAGAGGTAGAACGCGCTTTTCTGCTCTGAACTCTCGGCTTTTCCAAATCGATAACGAGAAATGGGCGAAGCCGACCTCGTAAGCTAAAGAGATCGCTTGTCTCTGATTCACAATCGGGGCAAGATATTTCTAAGGAGCGAACAACGCGATCGGTTATATTGTGGTGAAAAGTTGTCTGGTTAAACCAGTGCTTTACAACTTCCGTAATGTCTAGTACTACCCAACCTGATCCACTTTTCTTTTCTTTCTTGACCAAGGACTTAACCACTTTTACATCTTGCATGTCAGATGGTCCTCCCTCTGAGTCCGGGTTGGGTGATTTCATGTGAACAAACTTCCCAAGAAGTTCGTGGCGTTTGTTTTTTCGCATGTGGATCCATAGAGACGCTGACGGTGCCGAACTTGCCAATGTTTTTTGTTCCAGTTTGAAATGGAAAACCAACTTCCTGGAGGAATTTCGTTGAGACCGCGAGACAGGAACTTTCGCTGAAACTGCAAAAAAAGGGACACACACAAAGTTAAGAGTGGGATTCGAAAACAGAAGTCTTGCAAGTAATCAACTGTAGCGTTCTTGTTGTAAACTAATGCCGGTGCTCTTACTGTCGTTCTCTCGGTACCATCCTTTCGACATATACCTGCCGTTTTAAAAGGAACACTTTTCCTGACTGAATTAATGAGCAACAGAGGTTTGTCGTTGTTTCAGTCCTTAATTCTAAAGGGTTACTTCGGAAAAAACCTCTTTTTTGGAGGAGTTTCCTAACTTAGAAAGCCTTAAGAACCTTGCTCACACCAAGGATTAGGCTTACACTTGTACAGTTCTAGAAAAAAAAGCGCATTAGTAAGTCTTTCTACATCAAAGTGACTGGCATTTTTAAATTGATTTATTTTTTTTTCCCATTTTCTGTGACGAACGTAGGGGTTTGGTTTAAGGGCCAATTTACAAAGCATGGTTGGCAGCTGTGAATAGACATTATAGGAGGACTCCTCCTCCCAATGTACCTAAGACAATGATCATTATTTTAGAGTAGAATTGCAAACAAAAGACATAATTTCAGTTAACACTGAATAAGGCGTCAGTGACTAATATCTGCAACCTTCAAGTGAACAGCAATTTAATGGACTGGTCGTGGAGTTTTGCATCGCAAAATGGGCTAGGTCTCTTGAACTTTGCACATTCTCTGTCTGCCTAGTGACGCACGTGAATTGGCAAAAAAAATGCCGTAGTAAATTTTTTAGCTGTTGCCCTCTTGACCATGCCACTTTACAAAAAACCGCGAGAAAACGCCAATCACAAATACCGTACTCAAGACCAGGGCATGACCTCGATATAATGTGTCTAAAGAGAAACGTTCCGACATAACAATCGACTTTAAATACTCAAACTACTGTTGACTACACCTCCTACCTTTTTCGCTAAATACTATGATCTTAGTGGTCCTTCCAAAATAGTCTTTATCTTCCTCTTCCCTTTTCTCCTCTGCGTCATCTTCTCCAATGAGGTTCAAACTTGCTAGTAGCTCTTTAATTTTATTTTCCTTTGGTTTTTCTTTTATGACCGGTACTTTGTCCATCTGCAGTTTTGCCAGTATCTTTGCTTTGATCATCTCGATTCTCAGCTTGTACATGGTAGAATCCTCGGACACGTCGTCTTGGTCATGGTTGTCAATGCCACCATGCTGCTGCTTCTGCTGCAGATGAAGCGACCGGATGAATTTATCGGGAAGTTGTCTTGCAGTCTTAGATAAAACCGCGATCGAAGAATTACTGTCAGGCGTTGTTGCATTTGGAGAGGCTTTGCCCTGCACTCTTGAGGCAGCTCTTTCAAGAATTATCATCGTAGTTAGATAAAGTGCTAAGCGCGCGCTGTAGGTAAGTCTGGCCATTTTAGAAAGAGCTATAAGGTGAAACGGCTCTTTCCTGTGATGTCGACAGGTCAGAAAATTAAGCAAAATGTGCAGCACTTAAAGCGCAGGAGTAATTTTGATTACCAGCTCGAACGATCAAAGCATTTCAACAGCAGCAAATCTGTCAATAACCCGTATTGGCCAATAGAATGCGACGACCTTTCAAAGTCTTTCAACGGATCACATGTCATTGTTTATTGTTAATACTGTTTGCACGCGCTTTATGCCTTTTGATTTAGTTGAAGTGTTGTAGATCCTATTTTTTTGACAGGGCTAACCATATGAGGTACTTACTTTGTATTGCAATTTCCGGTTCTTGAAATTCTGTATACATCCCACATATAACACGATTGTCTTTCGTCGACAAACCCAGCCTTCCCTTTTTTCTTTGAAATGTTTGTTAATAGTTTGGGAGGTGATAGCTAAATATTATACTCGCCTTATCATCAACACGTCATTGCCAGTTGGCCTAATCTCATTAAAATCACTTTATTATTTCTTTTGACTGTCGTGGAGCTGTCGTGGTGTAATGGGTTTACCTGTCGACACATCCATCACTGCTTCAATGGTGAAATGTTTTATTCTTCGCTTTCAGTACAATACAAGATATGTGTTACTCAGGATTAACTTGGATAAAAAAGACGAAAAGGATAATACAACTCCCTAGAGATAATGATATTTTATTCGAAATTGGACCCCTGGTCGAGCCTCAAAAGCCCTTTCTACGATAAAAGGTCAACAGTACGACCTGACATCATTACTTCACAAACTTCTGCAGACTTGTTAAGTTGTTTGTCCAATTGTACATTTAAATCAAAGACAATTCACATGCGGTACTTTCGAGAAAAAAGGTTGAAGGTGTCTATAAGAAAAGGCTTTTTTAAGTCTTGAAAATTCTTGACCCGGGTAGAATCGCAACGACCTCTTTGATAAGCTGAAGAACATCAACACAATTTCGAACAATTGAATGTTCTGATACGTGCTTAAAATGGCTTTGTTTAAAGGCATGGTCAGTGTTTTCGTGACATGAATACTGAATACCTGCACACGATCTCTCTTGTTGTCTTATTCTTACAAAATTCTACTTCTAACTTTTAAGGGAGACTTTAAATCGCCATTTAAGAATTGAATTATAAGCGACTTGACGGCTATTGAAGGACTTTTTTCCGTTCGGCGATTTAAGCCCGTTAGTACGTTCAGACATAGAGCGTCATATTTCAACGTCTGAAAAGAGGAGGGTAGAAATTTTGTCGAGGGACGTACGCGTGCTGCACCTTGTAACAAAGACAATTTCACACATTACGTAATTATTTAAACAGAATCGTTCTAAAGCAGTATAGTGCATTGGATTTGCAGGTTAGATTTGATTATTAAGGAAAAAAAAAATCTAGAATTGCTATAATAACAAAGATGTGTATTATTACTGCCACTTGCCCCACTACCCACATTACGTGTTACTATACGGCCCATACGATTGTCGGCGGCTGTTAGTGAAATGGAGTTTTATCAGTATTATCATGTAAGTGGGCAATTTGACTCGGTGCCGCAAATAACTGATATCAGTCTTAAAACCACAATTCCCTCAATCCGATGAGATCAAACAAGTTGTGGGCACCAATTCAAATAGTCCGAGTTTGAAGAACAACCTATTATTTTTCAATATTCTCTTTGTATTTTTAGAACGAACACTTTTATGTCAGAGCGCTCAAATTGGCGTAACAAACTTTTCAAGAAAACCCACAGACCTCGTTTTCGTCTCCTATTTTTTTTTCTAGTGGAGGCATCAAGGAAGAACCATCAAACTGTCAGACACCGTTATATTTTCTGCGCGTGGGCGGTCTAGTCTTAACGGGTTGCCAAACAATTATTCCTTCAAGATTACACAATAAAGTGCCCTTAAACTTTGCCAAAACGATTGCATTACTCAAATAGTATCACGAGAAGCTAGAAGTGTTTGATCATAGTGAAAACTGGACTGAAATCGTTTGTTGACTATGTTTATTAATATTTTTGACGCGGCTAAGTTAAGTTATAGTTTTGACTAAAAGCGAATCCAGTTGGTAGGGTAGAACATTGACTGAAATTTTTTAAAACAAAGAGGAAACTATATGAACTTTTGTGAACCCATCAAGGAAAGAATGCAGAAGTAACTATTGCAACATCTGGTTGAAATATTTTGATTCTTCTTTAATTCTCTAGGATGGATTTGTTGGAAAACATTTTCCGATAACCAAAGATGTTGAATTCCTTCGCACAAAAACGAACAGGCATTTGAATAGACAAAAACTATGCAAACATGTTGCGGAACAGTTTGACATGAAATGCGTCAAGAAATGTTCGTTTATTTATTTGAGGTTTTTTTCAATTAGATAGGAAGCGAATTCTTTGCATTTGTGTGATTGCCGTGTACTCTAATCGAATTCCAATGCCTTAACGATTAATTTATCAGTGATCTGTCACCGGTCGATTCCCGCGCTCATAGGATTTCATGTCAAGAGAAGCGGAGCTAGAGAAAATATGCAAACCATGCGTTTTGGTTTGTTTTACTTANGCCAAACAATTATTCCTTCAAGATTACACAATAAAGTGCCCTTAAACTTTGCCAAAACGATTGCATTACTCAAATAGTATCACGAGAAGCTAGAAGTGTTTGATCATAGTGAAAACTGGACTGAAATCGTTTGTTGACCATGTTTATTAATATTTTTGACGCGACTAAGTTAAGGTATAGTTTTGACTAAAAGCGAATCCAGTTGGTAGGGTTGAACATTGACTGCAATTTTTTTAAAACAAAGAGGAAACTATATGAACTTTTGTGAACCCATCAAGGAAAGAATGCAGAAGTAACTATTGCAACATCTGGTTGAAATATTTTGATTCTTCTTTAATTCTCTAGGATGGATTTGTTGGAAAACATTTTCCGATAACCAAAGATGTTGAATTCCTTCGCACAAAAACGAACAGGCATTTGAATAGACAAAAACTATGCAAACATGTTGCGGAACAGTTTGACATGAAATGCGTCAAGAAATGTTCGTTTATTTATTTGAGGTTTTTTTCAATTAGATAGGAAGCGAATTCTTTGCATTTGTGTGATTGCCGTGTACTCTAATCGAATTCCAATGCCTTAACGATTAATTTATCAGTGATCTGTCACCGGTCGATTCCCGCGCTCATAGGATTTCATGTCAAGAGAAGCGGAGCTAGAGAAAATATGCAAACCATGCGTTTTGGTTTGTTTTACTTATTCCCGTAGTAGCTTTTGCTTTGAACAGAGCTCTTAGCTTTATCGGCTCAGCTTAGCTATCTCTCAAGTTGGACAGAGGAACTCAGTCGCCGTTATTATCGCTGTAAATTAGATTAAAATAAGTTTCCTTACTGAATGACACCTCCATCGGTTTGAAAACTCGGAGAATAAGTGACAGTATTTTGTTTAAGAAGTTAAAATTGCCGTCTCGGGTGCGAAATCAGTTGAAGGAGCAGAATTAGTTTTTTAAATGGCGACAGATCGCGAATTTCCTTTCTTGCGACCCTTCAGGAAAAAGCTAAATGACAACACTGTCTCCTTGAAAGGTTTTATAATGATTAAAAAAAAAAGCAACGCGAAAACAACTTTGGAACGTTGTTAATTTTGTTAAATTTCTCAGTTCTTTGAGTGCTTCTTGAGTGATCTGATCGATTGAACGTTTAGGACAATTCAGCTGAGACTAAAGCGATACAATTGTCAATACTTTAGAGCATTAACGCTATAAGTAATTTTTAAAATATTTTAAATTGATATTGTAGAAACTTAATCCAGTTTTCTAGTTGCCGAAAAGACGGCAGTTCTTTGGCTTCTATAAAAAACAAAAAAAACGGATAATCCCCCGGTTACCCCTATTTAATGTTTCACCGCAAAAGTAAAACAAAAAAACGAAAAAGGTTTAAGAAAGAGATACTATTAAACTATAGTTTTCCAATCTTGTTTATAGATAACATTTCACTGGAAGAGACAATGTCGTTTATTTTTAGCAACACTTAAAATAAAGGCTAAATTTTACCGAAACAGCTATTTTAGTGCAATAAAAGGATTCCTAAGCGTCTTTAAATTTGTCCGGGAGCTTGTGGCAGCTGCTTTTGCTGACTATTTACACAAGAGGCTAGTGTTGAAATATGTAGTCTAGTACATCTACTCAGTGGCTTAAACCTTTCTTGATCGCACTTCCCTTTCCTTCCGAGCGGTATTTTGTCGTCTCACTTTCTGTTGACCTTACAGTGAACAGGTTTTGAGAGAAGGTGGGGTGGGATCTTAGAGTAGTCTCGAAATGTTTAGATAGTTTTTCATTTTTTTAGCGGTCTTCACTAACTTTAAGTTCAAGCATCTATCTCAGTCATTGGCACTACACAGTTAAAACGTTGCTTTCTTGGGAGACTATATAGCCTGAAAAAACATTGGTCATAATATAAATGAACTTACTATTAAAATGCATTCCACTCATCTCACCTTACTTAACACCAGAAAAGTCGATTTAAGGTGGCGCCTCGACTTATAAGACTTTCTCAGTTTATCGCAAAATTAAGGAGTTAATGAAATGATGCGTCCTTCATCAGCTAATTGCTAAGAAATTTACGGTTACGGTTTTTTGGATTTATCTTGATAACTGCTCAATCCTAGAATGCCTCATGGTGTTGGCTAAATTCCTAACACTTCCAGAACTTATATATTTTTGAATATATTAAATCATGTACCTTTTAAGAAGATAAGAAGGCATTGTGCACCAGTGGAAAACTTAACACTGCTACTGTGTGCATGACTTTTAAGATTGTGCTAACCTTTCCATGAGAGACTGTGACAACTTTCACAATCAGTATCCTCGCTGTAGAATAACGTTAGAAACAAAATTTGGCATTTTTTCATTTCTTATTGATTAAGAAGTGTTAACAATATTTTATTTTCAAAGTCTTTCTATCCGTTGGAGAGTGAATCATCAGGCCGTTGAATTTTGACCCCTCTGCCGGCGTTAAAGGGCAGCAGTGGGAACTGCGCCATGAAACAAGAGAAAGCGGCAAAAGATCGAGAAAAAACTGC